AGTGTTGGGTCTCACGCATACTAGTCAACCACTATATCAGCTTTTTGCTTGAATTGCTTATGTGGGTTTTGGGGATTGTTCTCCAGTCTTCATGTTTGCATACACAGAAAGGGCAGTATCCAACTCCCCAACCCTGATATCTAGGAATAGTAAGTGTCCTTTTGGAAGCAAGTGACCAAGTGAGTCCCATGCTTTGATGAGAGGCCACATCTAGAGATGGTCCTACTGATATTTCAATGCTATGCTAAGTCTCTCTCTGGAGCTCTATATGCCTGCTGCTGTGCGTGCATGTATTAGCGATTCTTTTCTTGCCTCTGCCCTAGGAAGTAGACAGTTTCATTATCATCATTTGATGAAGAAACTGAGGTTCAGTGAGGGTAAACAGGTCACAGAGGGATTTGAATCAGAGAATGCAAGTGAAGGACAGCCTTTGCTGACCACATGCTGGGCTGCTGAATTGGCTATAAGGAGGAGAGATGACAGTTCAGGGGAACCATGGCCATTTCTCAGAGAAGAAAGCATTGGAAATGGGCCTTGCAAGGGGTGCAATCTGGGCATCCAGAGGTATCTAGAAGAGGAAAGCATATGAGTAGGAAATGGAAGGTGTTCACAGAGAATGGCACCAGCGACTGCTCAGTGTTGCTGGAATACAGAGACAAAAGCAGCCCTGGTGTGACTGCACAGGTTATCTGTGTTAGCAGATAATGGACATTTGCCAGATGACAGACTGTTAGCATTTCACACTGCTCATCTTCTCCCACCTACCCCCATACATGACAGGTAGGTAGGATCCCCACCTCCGTGTTACTAGTAAGGAAAGCTGGGATCTAAGAGGTTAAAGAAACCATCTAGTTTGGAGAGTAGCTCAAAAAGGATGGAGGACTTGAATGTGTGTCTGTCTCTTTTTACCGCAATGTGAAATAAATCACGTTAACAATGACACCTTTCATAAGAAGTACTTCCCTGCTGGCATGCTCTGTCCTGCTACACTCATCGTCCACAGATGCTACATTTTTATGCTGAAGAAAGTTCCCCATCATGCTGCCAGTCCTCACTCCACCCCTGCTCACCTCCTTCTCCTTCTTCTCCAGCCTTTGGCTAATAGCAATAAAATCTAAAAGTCAACAGCCAAGTAAAGCCCAATGACGTGATTAAGTAGCTGACAAGAGGAGCTAGAATTTCACCTCCAGGGTGAGCAGACACACATTGCAATAACCAATACTTCAGAGAAACATGGCTCCATTTTGCGCAACTGATATTTCATATCGTGGCTTCAAAGTAGTGACTATGGCAGCCAATTCGTGTCTAGTAGAATAAAATGCCCATGGAGGAAAGGAGGCAGAGTGTGTGCTGTGGAATGGTTTTTTTTTCTTTCTTTTTTTCCTGCTTGTTGTTGAGCCCACAACCTGGGTATCCAGCAGGGGAAAGCCAATGATGTCCTTTAATTTCACCCATGACAAAAGTATTGAGTGGCCACGAAATTATTTGTACAATTGATCCTGCGGGTGCCGGGAGAGAAAGTTCACCAGTGGAGTTAGATCCAGTCAAAGGTGGCCCTTTACTCCTGTTTCTTAGAAGCAGCAAATAATCATGAACTGAGAGGGCCAAAGAGAAACTGTACAACCTGTCTCCACATCTCTGCATTCTGTCCTTTAGAAGAACACTTGACTTCCTCCTCAGTGAGGCGACATCACCACGCCTTCCTATTATGTATTGCCCCCTTCCCCTTTCTTTCTAATTTTCTTTCTAATTTATGAATGAATTTGAAATGCTTATGGTCAAGCATGGATTTACTAGTTCCTTCCAGGTGATCTCTCTCTCTCTCTCTCTCTCTCTCTCTCTCTCTCTCTCTCTGTGTCTGTCTGTCTCTCGCTCTCTCTCTCTCTGTCTCTCTCCCCCACCTCTCTCACAAACACACACGGCAGGGGGCAGACCCTCTCTTCTTTTGTTCCATTTCTTATAAGTATTTAGAAACTTTAGAGACTCCTCCTCTTTGAGATTTCTGTGCCCTGTCCCACCCGCTCTGTCTCCACAGCCTTTCTCTTGGAGTACCCTCATCTTCTCCTGTCCTTAACTCCTTGTCTTTGCATAGCTGGCATCTTAGTTGCTCACATCTCAGACACCGTTTATAGTAAAATGCAGCATGCTTTAACTTCCCATCCTGCAAAGAAAAAAATACTACTAATGAAATAGCGGCATGCCATCCTTTGTAGAAAGCATCCCAAACAGATGTAAGAAAATGCATCCTAAAAGCAACACTCTCATTTCAATAAAATGGTATCTCGACACAATGCCTGCAATTGTCTTCTAACAGCACACTTTTGTAGTGGTGTAACAGGTCTTGACCAGCAGGCTCCAAGTGACACCTCCTTTCCTCTATGTAGATGCCCATTCTCAAACTTCAGGACGATTTTATCCACCTCCCTGGGACCTCATAGGCTGGGTTATGAGGCTGTCCTGTGTTGCCATGGCACTTTGAATTAGCTCATGTGTCAAAGCTCATCAGCATGCTTTATAACTACTGTCATGCATGCTTCTCACTACAGGGACCATGGAGAATTAGTGAGCATGGTGTGCATCTCGTTCTCAATATTCCCAGTGACTGACATGGGAAGTCCTCTGAGAGGGACTGCCGAAAACAGTTATGGGCTGTTAGGCATGTAGTTTCTAGACATGGTCACTAGAGGGCAGTGTGGAATCATACCAGGTAAAGACTGGCTGCTCCCCAAGAATCTAGGTTGTAGAGGTGGAAGAAAGCTGGCCTCCTGTGGGCAAACTGGCTGAGAGCCTGGAGCTTGTATCGCTCCTAGGGCACAGTGCCATTCTGCAGAATCTACTTTGAGGATGCTCCTTGGGTCTCCTATTCCTTGCCAGCCTGTCCACTAGGTGCTTTCGAGAAGCTGCCTCACTGCGTTCCTTATTAAGTGTCTAAAGCTCTTCCCTGATTCCCACCCGAGGCAGAAGAGGATGGAGGCCACAGACAGGGACAAGAGACATCTCCCTAATATCCTCATTCACATTCTAAGGAAAGCAGGCACATTCGAAGGGCCTGCAATATAATTGCTTTGCTTTGAAGAACAACAGGTAACAGCATCAATATTTGATTTTTAAAAGGTTGTGTGAACAGTTTTAAATATTAAAGATGAAGGCAAAAGACTCAGACCGTCTTTTCATCTCTACAGTTGAAGCATTTAAAGAGGAAAACGGTGCTGAGGAGCACAGTAGGATCGTGTGCCCATCAAATAGTATTCAGTTGCAAGAAAGCACAATTATTCTGGAGTGCGTGTATAGGACTGGAAAGCAGTATTGTAGCAGGGAAGTTTTCTGTTCATTATTTCTGTAATGAGAGGAAAAGAACGCAATCACCGGAGTAACTTTCTCCCGCCTCATCGTGGGCTGTTGTGTTCTCTCAATGACTGGTCTGGGACAGGTTCTGAGACGCCTCAGAAATTAACTATCCAACTTCCTGGCTAATGAGCCCAATATGTCAATTTCTACTGATCAAAATGATGCAAGTCGATAAAACATGCTTCACTTTGTAAGGAAATATACTCTTAATAGGGAGAACAGGAGGGTCAGGGTCCTCCAGAGATAATTATGGGCCAGTGGAATTAGAGGCGTGGGGCTGCACTTACTGTCTGGGGATGCCCCGTGGGGTTTGTGTGGCAGATACTGTCTTTCAGGGACAATAAATTCCTTCATTATATTTCCATTACTGCATTAATGCAGCAATGTCCCATTTACTTGTAACCAAGGCGCCTGGATTCCGGAAACTTGGCATTTAATGCTAATGAGAGCTTGCAAGCCAGGTCTCTCTCTCTCTCTCTCTCCCTTTCTCATCCTCCCCCCCTCTCTCTCTCTCTCTCTCTCTCCATTTCTATTTCTCCCTCCTTTCCTTTCTCCCTCTCCCCCTCTCTGTCTCTCCTCTGCTTCCTCTCTCTCTCTCTCTCTCTCTCTCTCTCTCTCTCTGTCTCACCCTTTCTGTTTCTAATTCTCCTCACTCCCTCTCTCCTTCCCTCCCTCCCTTTTTCCGCACGCTCTGTCTCTCCTTGTCTCTGTCTCTTTCTCTCTATGTATCTGTCTCTGTCTCCCCCTTTCCTCCGCCCCCTTTGTATGTTTGTGGCATTGTCTGGCTCTGAGGAAAGCAATCTAACTAGAGCATCAGGAACCTGGAGGACATTGGGTGTGTCTAGGGATCTGAGGTGGCTCTAGTCATACAGACACATGGATGCTAGAAAGCAATAGAGCCAGGAAGAAATTGCAGCTGAAGAGAGACGTTGAGATCAGTCTTCATTGCTATCTGAGCAATGCTTAGTGTGAGACCTATCCTGCAGAGACCCTGGAGGTGAGGTGATCAGGGCTCAAAAACACAGTAGCAATGTGCACAAAGTATCAGGACCTAGGTTCTTAGTTGTGCACTGTTGGAACAGCTTGCTTATTTTTATATTCTTCAACAACAGATATAGAAAAAACAAAAAGAGACCCCTGGTATCAGAATTCTTTTTTGAAACATTTTTAAAAATCTATAATAGAAATTACCTAGGAAAGTAAAACTGTAGTTATTTTGAATAACTTGGATATTGGTTTGTTAAGTTTCCAAGAACCAGTAGGTGTGCAATGATAACACGATAACTAAGAAGTATTTACTTAAGGTGACAAGTGAGTGGTGCTGAGTTTAACCCCTACCAGGGGTCCCTGATGGCTAATGGCTGATGAGCCTCATTAGTTTGCCTCATCTTTGAAAGGAGAGTCCCGCTTGGCTAGAAGTTGTAGGTGTCTAGCAGGCATTTTCCACTTACAAATTCTCTTCTTATTTTTTTAAACTAAATTCAATTATTGTGCACTGAACATTTCAATTCAAGTTCATCATATACATCAGTTACAAGTTCATGAAGTTTGTTATTTCTGCTTTTATAACATTTCTTTATTTTTATGTGTGGGTGTGTCAGTTCTCTCTTTGCACAGTGTGGGTCCTTGGGATCAAACTCAGGTCCGCAGGCTTGGAAGCAAGTGCTTTATTCACTGAGCCGCTGGCTTATTGCTTCTGTTGTGAAAATGGAGGCTCTGAGAGGTTAATAGTTAATCCCAGGCACAACTAACAGAAAGAACAGGGAACATCTTACTCAAATCTTTGGGTAGATTCCATATCTGAGAGTCTTTCAGTACTTCATGTTCTATGGTCAGTAAATTATGGATTTAATCCTCTTAAATTTTTAAAATAAACTACCTACTTGGGAATAAATTTAGATTTGCAATTAGGTTGCAAAGACATTATCCTTGAGAATTCTGGGACATCTTTCAGCCAGCTTTCCCAGATGTTGATATCTTACATAAACATTGTTTATTTGTCGAACTAAGAAATTAATGTTGGCATGTTGGGTTAGAGTCCTGTGGGAACATACTACAGATACTTGCACATATATGTTTATTGCTTCACTAGTGAACAGCCAGGGACTGGAACCAGCTCAGAAGCCTATTGAAATGAATGAATAATGAAAATGTAGCATACACACACAATGGAATTTATTCAGCTTTAAAGAAAGCTGAAATCTGACATTTGTAGGAAGACACACTATGTTAAGTGCAATAAGTCTTTCTCTGTAATACAAATACCACATTTCATCCCATATGCAGGATCTATATTTAAAATTGTGTGTATGTATGTATGTATGTGCGTGTATGTGAGTGTATATATGAGTGAGTGTGTGTATGTGTGTATATGAGTATGTGTATATGTGTATATGAGTGAGTGTGCATGTGATTGTGTACGTATGAGTGGATATATGTAAGTAAGTATGTGAGTGTATATCTGAGTACATGAATGAATGAGGGATTGTGTGTATGAGTGTGTATATGTGAGTGTGAGAATGTGTATATTAGTGTGTATGAGTGAATGTATATATATGTGTGTGTAAGTATGTATGCCAGTGTGTATATGTGAGTGTGAGATAAAGCTAGAAAGGTGATCATGAGAGGGAAAGAGGAGATCTCAAATGGGAGGGGACATGGAGTGGGATACATGTGGCATGAAAGCAGAAGAGGGACCCTTCAGGAAGAAGGAAACGTATGACTTATGTTTTTCATTGCTGTCACCTGATATCTAACAAGAAGCAACTTGAGGGAAGACAGGTTTATCTGGGCTCACAGTTCAAGAGGTTACAGCTTCATAGGATGGGTGGGGGGGTATCACTGAGTGAGTATAGGGTGGCTGCACCTCCTCATTCAGAGAGAGAACAGGAAGTGGGACTAGGTTAAGAAACCTCAAGGCATTCCCGCAGTTATTCATTTCTTCCAGCTACGCCCCACCTCAAGGCTTGCTCCAGATAGTGACCAAGTATTCAACACAAGAGTCTGGGGGAGATATGTCACGTTAAAAACTCAGTAGAAAGAACTAGTCAGAGATTTGCAGGAACTTGGGGAGGAGCAGTGGGCTAGGAGGATGAATTAGAACGATGTATAATGGAGTGTACATGTTGAAATGTCATAGTTAATAAACCTATTACTTTGTATACCAATTTAAAAATTAATAAAAAATGAAATTAACATTGGCAATCGACTATCAATTAGACTACAGTATTCGTTTGATTTTCACTAATTTTTCCACGATGCCCTTTTTAATGTTTCAGGGTCCAAGCTGGGGTACCATATCACATTTTATAACTACTAATTTTAACCTAGTTATTTGCTACAACTTCATATGGAAAAGGTTGGGTGGGGTTATAGATTAGGAGTCGTCTTGCTATGTGTGTGTGTGTGTGTGTGTGTGTGTGTGTGAGAATGTGTATATGTGTGTATGTATGATAATATATGTTTGTGTGAATGCATGCACATGTGTGTGTGTAGTTGTAGTGCATATGGACTACATATAGAGGTAACTATGATTAAAATACACCATGTAAAAATTATCAAAGAATTAATAGAACACCAGTTTCCCATTCATTCTGCATCTGCTTTTGTAGACAGTTTTTCAAGCACAATGCACCTGCCACATTTATTTCTGCCCCGTATCTTGGCTTGTTTGTATACTGGCTGCAAGGGTTTGGGATTGAGATTTGGTCTTCAAGAGCAATGTTCAGTCTGTCTTCTTTCAAGGACAGGAAATTTCAAATCAACTTTGAGCTGTAGCATTTGCTACACCAAATATTCCTGAAGTTCCCATAATTGCCAATAAATAAGACATTCCATCATCTTTAAGTCATGAAATCTTTTGATAAATTGAATTCCATAAAATATTGCTCTATTGATCTTCATGCTCAGCTGTCAATAAAGGAAACCATCCAGAATTTCTGGCAGGGATTTTTCTTGTGTGGAAGATACTGTGTGTTTATATGGGGATGGACATTTATGAGGCCAGGATCTTTGACTCAGTTCCTGGTATGACATCAAATCCAAACCAACTGTAATGACAGAGGCCTTACTTAACTTTATAGTACAATTTCACTGACATTTAGCAATTTGTGGAGAACTCCAGGACCTATGCTGTGAGTCCCATGCTCCTTCCACACTCTGTGTGTGTGATCTGTGCTAATGCCCCCTAGAACAAGAGAAAATCAAGCTCCTCTCTGAATTCAGTTTTGACTGCCGTTCACATTTCTGGAAAAGCAAGAGCCAAAGATGAGAAGTGACGGTATGGCAAGAAAAGGCAAGCGTCCAGATCCAGTGAGCTTCTTCTCCATATCAGTTTCCACAGGGCTGATCTGAAATAGACTGAAATGGTATGCCAGTCCTTAGGATTTTTTAAAAAAACAAATAACATTTTCATACTTTCATCATGACAACATGTCTGGGATACCATCTGTTCTCCCCATGTGTTAAGGCAAATCAGTAAGAAAATAGTGTTTAGAGGACTAATATTTAGCCTGCTCATAATCTTTTGTAGGTGGGTGGACTACTATGCCAGGGATAGCTGAAAACAGGGTTTTTCTACTATTTGGCATATTGGGTCACTAACAGTCCTTACGCAACTATGATGTTCCAGAAGAGAGAGGGGAAGGGGAATCTCTGTAGACTGAGGGTTGAGCAGTGTGTATACAATGACACCGCCATGACAGAGGCTTGCAAAAGGTTCTGTGAAACATAAGATGGTCTGTGCCACAGTGTGTGTGTGAGAGAAATGTATGTATGTATGTATGTATGTATGTACGTATGTATGTATCATATATCATCTATCTATCTATCTATCTATATCTATCTATCTATCTATCATCTTTGTCTTTGGGGTGGGAAAAGAGTGCAGAAGTAATTTTCGAGGAAGGAAATAAAACTAAGTCCTAGCCTGGCAGCTTTGGGAGACCTCAACCATACGGAAAGGAGTGGTGGTGGAAAAAATGTCACTAAGTTGATGCTTCTGAGGTCAACAATGATAGCAATGTGATGCATCAAGGAGTCAGAGCTAATCATTCCACTACTGCAGCTGGACTGTGGAGTATTCAGTATAAACTAATATGTGAAACCCATCTCCTAGACATATCCTGAAACAATTGATCAAGAATTGATTGCTCATCCCCAGACAGAGGCAAAGTGGGGATATGACAGGCAAAGCATGGTTTGTGACAGGAGGGTAGCAGCTAGCTATCTATAGACAACGATCAAGAAGATGAGGGGAAAGTTGTAGAATATGGCAGTCTGCTTGTACTTAAGAGTGGATATATCTTATGGCAGTGTAAGGTCACAAAGTTGTTACTCTGAGTCTTTTTTTAGGCCAATTGCTGGGGGATCTGATATAGGAAGGCTAGACGGGGGATATTTTGGAGGAATCTTTGCAAGTCTAAGAACATATATCTTCATTATTCTTTTACAGAATGGAAGGTAAAACCTTTTAAAATAGCTCTTGCAATTTTTTATGATTTTTTAAGGCTATTTGGGAGTACCTGTCTGGTGTAATGTATACGGATGCACAGTAGTTGCACATTGAAAATGTGTTTGCCCCCCAGAAACCAAAAGCTTTCAGGGAATGCTTCCTTGTTGCTCTAAATCTTAGTTATCCCTTGGAGAGCAGTGAATTACCAGCTCAATCAATAACATCCTGAGTTCCTCTCCACACATGGCAGAAGAAATAATAACATCAAAGACTTAAGATAACCCCCTGTTGAAAGGTCAAAAAATAAAGAACACATTAATGTTAATATTTGTAAATGCCACTGAGTGCCTTCTAGGCCCAGCACTGAACACATCTCAGAGGATCAACAGTGTTTCTATGAGCTATAGCTAGACTGATATTACATTTACTCCTTAGTTGTGGAACTTGAGGCTCAAAGAGGACAACTAACCTGTCCACAATCACAGAGTATAGAAGTGATGGAACCTGGTCACTAGTCTAAGTTTGTCCATTGCTGAGGCTTCTCCTTGTGTTATTATCTCCACAAAGTCAGTTATGCCTGCTCTGTAATGGATGTGGGGGACCCCTTGACATTCCAGGAAAACTAGTAGTAGTCCTACCCTTGGAAGTCGCAGAAATTTTACCTACACCCCTTAGTCATGGGAAACTGTCCCTCATATTGCAGCCTTTTCTGTTATTTTTTCCTGTTTGAGAAAGTGAGTGATAGCCTGGCCTAGCTCTTCTCTAGTTTATCATTTTCCTAGGTTCTGGGTCTTGGAGCTAGGGAGGTAAAGGCTGAAGTCAGTGGGGTGGGACTCAGCCAGTACAGAGGTGGTCAACATTCATTCACGCTGGTTCCCCGACAGACATGTTCATAGCAGAATCAGGCACTGTATCTCACCAATGCTAACAAAATCTCTCACAGGGCAGTGGGTCATGTGGCTCAGAATCAGGGATCCATTATCACCCTGGTGGTAATACCCATCCTTGGTCTTACTCTCTCCCCTTCAGTTTGTTCTCAGAACAACTCAAGACGTATGTCCTTTGCTTGTCCATAAAAAGGCAAAAACAATGGTAGCTATTGTTTAGTCATGAAATAAAATTAAGATAATCATGTGAGGATACTTAGAACAAAGCCCAATGTAAAGCAATATAAGTATAAATGAATATTCAAAGAAATGCAAATGAATACTAGAGCTTGGTTACTATTTTACAATGAAAATGTTGAATGATAATTGACCAAAAAGTTCTATAAAATAAGGCTTGCAACACTTGGATTTGTTACATATTCCTAACCCTTTCTATCTTGGTAATTAAGGGAGCTAGAATGCAAACTAAATGCTGGAAAGATTTGCAAATTGAGAAGAGGGAGAAACAGACACAAAGGAAAGGCGACCAAGTTAAAAGCAGGTAATGGCTGAGATTACCACTGGAAAGGAGGAAGAAGGGGGAACACTCCGAACTTGTATTTTTTTACTCCATTAGCTAACAGGCATATAATTTAATTCTCTTGACTGCTGTGAGAGATACGTGGCGCTGTCTGTACTCTACATTGAGGAAATCAAGACTTGTGCTTTCTCTTTGAACATTCACAGCACTTGGCCTCTCCATTGTTTGCACACCTGACACACACACAGAACATACTGCATTGTCTCCGTACCTGGGTGATTCCCTTCCATGAACCTTAAAGTTTTTGAGAGGCGGTAGCTGGGCTTTGGTTGTCTTCCCATTTTCGACCTGTCTAACATACTGTCTTGTATCTAGTAAGTACTGAACGGCCTGGTAGAAGGCTGTGATGTGCAAGGCTACAAAGAAGCAGGGGCCACCATAAGCAAGAGTTGTTTAGTGTGGAGAACCCTCAAGTTCCAACTTCTGGCCATAAGGATTCTGCTCAGTTACTGATCCTAGACTGAGGATTGGCTGCTCTTACCAGTTTAAGAGTCCAACTAGGTCCTAGGAGATTCAGTCTGAGCTTATCTCTTAAATGTGACAGTCATAGTCAGCAGCTGTGGGATGGCTTTGCTCTGTCTGAGAAGCAGAGAAATGAAATAGGCTTTCGGAGAGAAGATGCTCACACTCATGGAGAAATCATACAGAGTCCATTTGGTTTTGAGAGATAGATGATTACTTGGATCTGAAAGTCCAAATCTTGATTCTGCTCCTCAGTCATGTGACCACAGGTAACTGTTTTACATCTCGGTGTCTCAGTTTCCCCCTCCATGGAAACCTTCCTTGGGGAATCTCATATCATGTGCTTCAGTTCGGTGATGATACATGATACACACCCATTAAATTGTAGCTATTGATGCAATTTCCTGCTTACCCCTGATTCCACAGTTTTTTTTTTTTTTTGGTCTGTGTTTCTATTGCCTTGGATACATTTTCCTTCCTCATTTCAGACTCCCAGCTTTCCAATTGCTACTTGTAACACAAAGCAAATCAAAGGCCTCTCTGTTGTTGGTAGAGCATCTGATCTCGTGCTGGCAGCCTCTGCCTGAGCATACTTATCAGTTACCAGCCAGAAACACACACCTGTCTTTTCATAAGTGACACCACTGGCCCCAGCACATTTCAAAGCACAGACCTTTCTCTCCTCCTGTGGAGAAGGAGCCCTGCTTGTTTGTTCTCTTTGATGCTCGGAGCCTCTTATTAATTTGATATAGGGCTGGGGACTTGATGTCCTCCTGTTGTCAGAACATTCTCCAAAGTCATGAATAATCATGTTGCCATGCCCATGTGACTTAAAATACAAAAGGTGCAATTTATGCGCGTTTTCCAGTTACTCTTTCAAAAGAGTTCAACCAGTGAAACTGTCAGGCTGTCAAGACGCCAGCACTAAACTGGATCCTTCACTGTTACTTATGAATTTTCAAAGGACATTAACACATTTTTAATTGGAATCCCATCCCTTGCCCTGTCCCACCAGCCTGCAAATCAATCTGTTAAATGGTTATGCTCCATGAGCCAAGTGGCATGAGAATGTGCAGTCAGTGGGAGGCATTGGTAGAAACCTTGTTTCATTCATTTAGGGTCTCTTTATAGGATCAAGTCTATAGACAGGAGTACAGTTTTTTCCAGATCATGAATAATTTTTATTTTCAAAAGAAGGATAAAGAAAGAAAGTAGGGTGCCAGTCAGCAAAGGGGCATTACGGGTCTTATAAGTATGTATCTTTCCTAGCATGGCCTCAAGTACCTGTACATATCCCATTCACTTAACCCTCCCATCAATGATGTCCATTGTCATTCTCCTACACAGAGGAAGGCCTTTACTTTGCATGCCTCATGATTCCTGGGCAGGGAATCTTTTCAGAGAAATGCTCTGGTCGCCTTTCTGTTCTCTCATTCCTCTGTACAAAAGAGAGTTTTATCCTCTGATTTGGAGCCTATGAAGTAGGCATCATATTCCTTGTCCGCAGATGAGGCACTCTCTGGTGTCTTCTCTTGGCTGTTAGATGAGGCACTCTCTGGTGTCTTCTCTTGGCTGTTAAAGACTTTGATGGTAAAGACTTCCCATCTCTGAGGCTAGGTGTACAGTTTAGAAAGGCAAGTCTTTTCTGTTGGTGATATTTACAAATCACTCTGCAGTCTACCACAGCTATGTCCTCCAATACAATTTTTTTCCTATTAATAAAGTTGGTATTTTGGTTCACAACTGACTTTGGGATCTATCTCTTAAATTTTTTAAGTCATGTAGAATATAAGAGGATGCATAAAGAATGTTATTTGTTACTGTTCTTGACAGACAGTTAAGGGGTAAACCCAATAGCTGAACTTGGTAGCTCACACCTCACATGGGAGGTAGAGGCGGGAGGATGGAGGACAGCTTAGACCAAATACTTTTCTCTTAAACAAAGAGGGTCAAACATAGTATGACTATATGAAAGACT